CACACAACACACACACACACAGAGTTGTGGAGACACACATGCAGTGATGGAAAACATCCCTGCTGAAAAATGTCAACACAGGTCTCAGAAGAGACATGTTTTAGGTGTTCTGCAGCAGTCGAGCGTAAAACCATCCATCTTATTCTTTTAGCAGAGAGCGAGATTAAAGGCCTTTCACAGTCTGCCTCCTTCTTCCTTCTCAGAACATCCCTCTGTCTATCTGCTTTGCCTTCTTCTCTGTTCTTTCTCTTTTCCATCCTCTGGTTCATGGTTTCCCTTGTGGCCTGGTCTGTTTACCAATGGCCTGTTTAATCATGCCCACCTTTCCTGCCTCTGTAGAAAGTAGGTTAGTGGGATAAAAAAAAACACATAACACCTGTTATGTAGTGCAGTAACATTAACTAGCTCCCCTGTGTGTAGATAACACTGCACTATTTATATCTTTTTCCACTTTTCTCTTTTCTTCTGTGATGTCTGTTTTTAGGTCGTATTCCAGACAGTCTGAAGAACTGTGTGAATAAGGAGTTCCTCACCCAGAACAACCACTGGACAGGAGTTGACCCATCTACCGTCCACCCCGAGCTGAACGGGGCTTATAGGTAACTACAGGGGGTGGTGCAACGGGGTAGGCAAAGTAGGCAATTGCCTGGGGGCCCCCTGTCGACAGCTGATGACGATAGTCGACAGCAACAACAAACTTTGTGAGAACTCCCTTAAATTCTATAATGGGCCATGTACAGGAGACTGAGATGACACCATGTTCAGAAACCCCCTAACAAGCCGCCATGACACCAGCTTTTTGACAAAAGCTTTGTGACAAAAGCTTTGTGAGATCCGAGGTTTGGTTAAAGACTAAAAAGTGTAAATGTTTGTGTCTTGTGTCTGGAATGTTGATGGGGGTTTACAATTAAACTTCACAACTTTACTGGTAACACTTTGGTTATAATTTTGATAATAAAACTATTGTTTGAAGATTGGAATGATGTGGGTTGTATTGGGGGGTGGCGGTTTGATGTAGGGGCCCCCCAGAGTCCCTCAAAGTGCTCCTGGGTAACGGCACGATAAGAAACCATTTGTTTATTTTTCTCCAAATCCCGGATAGCTCATGTTGCACTACTCATTCTCCAATACCTGATTGACCTCAGGAGCAGATAAATACCAACATCAAGGCTCAGCTTGCTTCTTTGCCCCCCTTTAGCTGTTCTTTCATCTGACAGTCACGGGACTGCTACTGCTAACCTGCAGCAGCAGTCTGAGGGCTGATCAAGGCTGATCAGTTTATAATATTGCTGCTATGACACCTGATCCATCACTGATCTTGTACTGTTGCTGTCAGACATCAATATAAACTAACTGGAATTTGAACATTTCAGAATCCTTTTTAATCTGCAGAGGAGGAGACACTTCAAATCCTTTCTTCTCCACAATATTATGCAAAAACCTTCAGGATCTTGTATTAATCCAGGGAGAGCGATAAAAAATAATTTTAATTTCTGTAAAGGTCAACTAACCTAAATTACAAAAGACTATATCTTCTCACTTTCCCCCCGAGATATCTCCCCATTTATAGTATTTATCTTCCCTGAGATCACCTCAATACAATAGAGCCAAATAGAATTTAGTTTTTAGTACTCACAACACTGAAAAATGACAATTTTAAAAATGAAATACTGAACATTTCTTAAGAATAACTATCCACTGTGGAGACAGTCCCTATGAAAACAGTTACCAGAGTAATGAGGACACCGTTTCTGGGGGAAAAAAGATAGTATTGAATATTTTACATGTTAGCACCACAGATTAAATATTCACGGTTATAACCACTATGAATTATTTCAGTTGGATTGGCTTTACTTACATTAATGTGAACCTAATGTGATCCAGCAAGCTGTCAGTGACTGGTTGCGTTTCAGAAAAGGTCACAGATTTGTAACTCTTCCAGTTCCAGTTGAACTTTCATGACTCAGTTGTGTATCTCTCTCTCACACACACACACCTCCAGGTATCCCCCCGGGGTTGTCAGTTTGCCAGCAGGGGGGCTCCCGCCTCCAGTTGAAGGCATTGTGCCCAGCGCCGTGCCCATCACACACACCCTCCCGCCCGCTGTTACACATCCTCCCCATGCTCCATCTCCTGGACAAAACACAGTAAAGCCACCAGAGAGCGACAGAGAGCAGCATCCGAATGACCAACTGTAGCCACACATACACAAACAAACATACACACACACACACACACACAAACACACACACGCTTGCCCGTGTTGTCTGGCAGCTGGAGGAGGTCGGCATGGCAACTGGTGTCAAAGCGGTAAGTTCCCTAGCGACATGTTGTTATCAGACGGGTTCACCGAGCGTCAGATCAACAGGATGAGGTCCCCAAAAACAATCGATTCACAACTCTCTGGCAAATGGTTCCCAGCAGCCTGTTCACACTCCAAAGAGGAAGAAGAGGAGGATGGTGATGATAAAGAGGATCAGGAGTGGATAACTTTCAAATGCTCTAATTTAAGTTCAAGACAGTTTACCTCTGCCCCACACAAGTCCTAAAAAAAGACTGTAAAACTCTCGGTCTGCACATCGATTTTTTGAATAGTTTCCTCTGCCAGAAGTAAAAAAAAAAAAAGAAAAAGAAAACAACCATCTCTTGATTTGGAAAGAAAAAATACTGAATCCAATTCTGCTGTCATAGACTGTAGTGTGTCCAAAGTTAGAGGAGCATCTTTCATGTCTTTATCTCCTTTTTCTGTGTCTTTTCCTTAGTTTGATGTACAAGCAAAAGTAGTAGGTTATAAAATGAATGTAACCTGTCTGTGTACAGTTTTTAGACTCGCAGCAAGAAGATGCTGATATTTGTATTCCAGTCTTACACAAAAACAAGAGTTCTGTGATCTCTCTATGTAGCCAAACTGGTTTGAGAATACAATATCTGTTTGTCTGTTTTATCTTCAACATGTCCCCAGATTAACAAGCCCCCCAAAAAGAGGCAGCTTTTTGCACACCATCTCAGGAAATTAAGTTTCCGCAGTTGGTATGTTTCTATATATTTTTGTTTTAAAAATCCATTTTTATGCCACTTAGTGCTTTCGTGTCCCACTACATTAGAAAAAGACCTTAAATAAGAGCTAAAGTTGATCTAATGTTTGCTTTTCTTTGTCATGTTAAGGGGGCATGTGATTTTGCTCTTGGACTTGTGTAAATGTTTGACCCAAATGGAGGTGGTTGTGGGAGGAACGGCTGTAGGACGGTGGCAAAATGGTATGCTTGGCTAGAGCGACTTTATCTGCAGCAAGATCGAGTGGTTTATGTGAATTACTGTATGATAAAGCAAGTCGTCCATGAGGTGATTTTCATAACATGTACTTATCTTCGTCTTCTCCATGTGCAATGATCCAGTACTTCCACTACCAATCACAGAAATTGTTCGGCTCGTGGAGCGTGAACAGTTGAGCACACAGAGGTTTACAAAAGATGCACAACATTGATGAATAAGTATGTTGCTTCTTGCTGCTAAATAAATATTTTAGAGAGGTTGTCCTTTCAGCTCTTCTCAGCCAAGAGACCTGTGAAAAACTCAAAGAAACTCAAATTATATTGCTTTCTGACAAAACCATTTTTGTTCCCATTCGAAGTTAAATTCACTTGTACAGAGGTCACATCCAGTTCAAGACAGTTGAGGAACAGTTGTGTGGGTGAAGTTAGGTCTAACCAAATGTTCTTGTTTCTGTTCCACGTTGAGCTTTTACAGATTTAAAAAAAAATGCTTTATGGCTTGTCATTTTAAACGGCTTTCTAAAATAGGAACCTGCTTGTGCAAACAAAAAAAAAGTATGGTTTTATAGAAATGTGAGAGACATCATATATGCACAGTGAAGTACAGATGTTTAATGGTAGCATGTCAGAATGTATGGATTGCTCCAGTATAGAATCCCTTTAACATTTCACGATGGCTCCTTCCTGAGTATACCGTTTAGCCACCCTCTGTGGCCTCTGTGTCTATGTGTACATATGGTGTTCTGCCTGCCTGTGTCAATGTGACTTGGTTGTATCTGTGTCTTAAAAAAAGCAGCACTGGGAGAAGGGGTGGTGGCATCATGATAAATACTGCCATCTAAATACACAACGAAAAAATAAGTACGGTAGCAAACTGAGCCAGTAATGCAAGTTCTTACTGGTTAGATTCCCACAAAGAAAAGAAAATATCGGAAACCCTTCGCTATGAGGAATATTTATTACCAACTCCAGTTTGTTGAAGTTAGCAGGCAAGCTGAGTGATGGTGCTTTCTCGAACCCCTTCTACCAGCAGCTGAGTAGTAAAACAGTTCACTGTTGCCCACCTGCTCGTCCTTACGGTGAGGTTAGCGTAGCGATCAGGGATGGAAATTTCACTAGCCATTTGTGAGGGTTTTGTAGCCCAGGCTAGGGTTGAGCTCTCACTGGCCTGAATCTGAGCAGGGTGTCTAGTTCATAGGGTACTGATGAGACAGTCAAAGATCACTGTCAGGCTAAATCCCCCAAATCCTCAGGGGAATGCTGAAATATTATGAACTTTACTCTTAATCTTACCAGATAACTGTCATTACATGGTGGAGAAACTTTGTGGTTACTTCCGAATATAAACTTTAAGCATTCCTTATCCAAACCGATGGTTGCCACAATTGAAAACATGCTCCTTGAAATTCCATCCCTGATAGTGACATACAGTCCACTGTTGCCTACCTTGGTCCCTTTTATGGTAAAGTAGTAGGCGTAGCAATATACAGTATACATATTCTATATTCTACAGTAAATATCATTATTTTTGGTTAAAATTGACAACCTGACAAAGATATGTTTGTGAGTGTATGCATTTGTATGAATTATTTTAAAAGCAAATAAACTGTGGAAAGGTGAAATGCGTCTTTTTAATCTTAGGTAGCCTATTTTGAATGAAGCTATGTTTGCAATGGAATCTGTTGGTAAAGCAAGTGCCAATCGATGATGTAGAAAAAGATTGATTAAAGGATTCTATAAAGTATAATTTACAGCTTATAAATGGGGATTTGAGAGATGTTTTACCCCCCAAACTAATCATTTATAGAATGAACTATGAAACTTTGTTTTTTCCAAGTTGTTAAAGTTATTATACTGACAGGAAGTGACACCATCCATCCATCCATTTCATATCCTGGGGGGCTGGAGCCAAGCCCAGCGGACATCGGGCGAGAGGGGGGGGATACACCCTGAACGGGCCTCCAGCCTATCACAGGGCTGATGTATAGCGACGATCAACCATTCACACTCAAATTCATGGTCAACTTATGAGTCTGTAGGAAGAGATATAAACCATGTAAACGTTGAGATAATGCAACTTTCAGAGGTACAACAATTTTTAGATGTAATAAATGAAAAAAAGCATAATGCTTCAGCAAAGATGAAATGCTTACAGGATTTTGCTCTGTCTAAGTTTCCGTTGTCGATCAATGACGAGTGACTAAACAGTTTGCACTACTACTTGTTAAAGATAGGTTGCAGTTACCAGTTGAGTCCACCAGATGTCCCCAGTACAGCTGCAGCTCTTCTGCTGTGGACAGACGAGCAGTCCGATTTTAACATCTGAATCTGCTTTGGCTCTGCTACTCACATCTGCTTTCCAGTTCAACGTATTCATGCAATAATCTTAAATTAATCTTTCGGTGCTCCTCCAGACGTATACAGAGCAGATGTGTCACAGTGGTACAGCGGCTGTCGACACCTCAGTGATGCACATAGTGGCCAGCATACAAGGGGTCACTGACTGGTCAAATCGTGAATCTAGTGTCATCAAATCAGACTTCATCCAATAAATACAAAATCCATTGTATAAAATATTAATAACCAAGGTGTGCAAATAAATTATAATGTGTTTTACTGTCCTTGCTTGTGAGGGGTGTAGAGCTGGATATAAAACACAATGGTTTAAAGACCCCCAGGTGAATCTACTACAATCCAAAACACTGAAATCGAACCTGAATTGGACCGTACAAACGAGAACCCAGGTTTACTTGCAGTTACATAACTGTGCTTCGTATTGATTTCCATGCGTGGAAATCATCTGGATGTGGTCTGATTCTAGTTAGGACAATAAATGTTGAGAATAAACTGTGGGAAAAATGATTGATACAGCTTGTACACTGGAGTTTCCAGTGGCATGGTCTCAAACTTTCATGGTTCTTGTCACTCTTGCAGACCTCTGACATCAGATGCTCTGTGGAGGACAGATGTCCCAAATCTGAGCTGAGGGTTTGTTCAGGACAAAGTTTGTGTTACCATGAGTTCAGAAACCCTGACAAATTCTTTTCAGTTTTATACACAGAGTGTGTCTAACACCAAAACAGCTTTGCTCCATGAAAACAATTGCTGACCATACTTTAACTCTTTGTCCCTTGAAAGTAACTGGTAGTTATGTTGATGTGGAGTTGGCCTTTCACATATGAAGAACGCAGCAGGAAACTGTCTTGGTTAGACTCATTCACAGCCACCAGAAAATGTCTAGAAAATTCAGGCAAGGGCTGTCACAGCAAGCAGGCGGCAGGACTTAACGTATAGATTATGTTGCGGTAATCATGTGTTGTTGTTTACAGAATGAACACCGTCCACTGAGTGTTAGAAACTTAATAAACACAACCACTCGCTTGATGGAAAAATGTCTGGGGAAAAGCTCCACAGTGAATCCCAAATTCACTCTCATTGAACCTGAAGGAGCCTCAGTGACGGTTGGGATCGGTAGCCTGGACCCTGGGGCTGGGGTGAAAGATGTAAAAATGTATTTTCATACTTATTTCAGTATGGAGAGCCACAGATAATTAACTAGAGATACATATCTTAGTTAATATAAATTGGATTATACTATTTTATAAATTACCCAAGTGACCTATTTTAGAGTACAGGTGTGTTATGTAAAAATAGTAGAGTATAAATACTTAAAATCTATTTAGTGTTTATAAGTTGACATTTTGAGAGGCAGGAGCTAAATCTATTCATCGGTCTATGATTCTTCTGTTGAATTGGCTGTAAACCTCGAACTGACCATAGCTGACTTCTGACATTGGACATGGAGAGACTACTACTACATCTCCTTATCTTTATTTATTTCTGTTTTGCTCCCTGCACAGACCCAAATATCTCAGTTGCACTCGTTGTCCCTTCCTCTTTCCTCCTTCTATCTCTGGTTCATCCATTCAGGGTTACAGCCACTGGAACACGCTCTCCAGCAGCTGGAAACTCAAGATAGTTTAATCTAAATCTCAGGAAGCAGGATGGGAACCAGATGGAGTAAAAAAAATTGGTAGAAACAGGTAGAGGGTGAGTTTTATTCAGCTGGCATGGAGACCTCCAAAGGTCCAAAGGTGATCTTCTTGTAAAGAGGAAGATCATTTTTCAGTTTGACCATCAACAGACTTAAATTTAAAGGGTTGGAGACATTAGGTGAACCCTGGATGTTCTGCAGTCACATCTTCCATTGTGAATCTAGACTGAGCTCGAAGATTTAAGAGATGCTGGCTTGTTAGGAGAAGAGGAAAATTTGGAGAATAGCTGAATGACTAACGCTTTCCGCTCCATCAGGAAATGCCTTCAAGCTGCCCCTGGGCAAGACACTCAGCATTAATCCATGTTATAGCATAATACGCTTTTACAGGGTTCAAGTGACGCCTTTTGTCCTTGTTAAACCTTTGGCAGCTGGACTAGACAGTGTGAGGCATGAAAAGAAAAAAGACTCAAAATAAAACAGCATGTGCAAATCGACGAGTACAAAAGACGTTGATGGATGGTCAGGGTGTTTTTGCTCTGATCCACCTGTCTTTGCCTGGCTACTTACACGATGCTTGCAAGCATGAATTTGTGTCCTGGTGTTTTGGTAGACACAAATATTCAAAACTTGTTTGTCTTACTGTGTGAGCTAATAACCAGGGATGGAAGACGTTCTGATATGCTTCATTCAAGTCATAGAAAGACAAGCCATTATATTTTTGCGTATTAATTAAAGACCTGTTATTATAGATGCATGGATTTGTTTTAATAAACATTTAACTGAAGGAATTGGACAAAGTTGCTCATGTAGCTAGTAAGAATGTAGCTAACCAACAAGACTGGCAACAACACAGATACCTCGGTTTCTTTTCAAAATATAAAATAAAGAATTCACCATGTCATACAAGTTTTAGGCCGCATACCTCATGACTGTTAAATCCTCGTTGGGTCAAATCTGAACACTCTTTGTTGAAAGTGCTGCATTTGACAAAGACGTGTGTAGGAGGTAGGTAGGATGAAGTGCTCGATGATGGACATGGAGGAAATGGGTGGATTTTCGCAGTTCCTCTTTGCATCTCCCTTTACCGTCCCTCCGCTCTTCTCGCCTTTCCTCTCACATCTCCTCTCACCTCTCTGTGGTTTTTCTTCATACATTTTCTCTCTTCTGCTTTATGTTCTGCTCTCCTCTCCCCTGGACTATAGGGCACAGTCCAAAAAAACCCTTACAGAAGATGATTATCCACAAAAATGTGTTGCAAGACACCTAACACTGAGAAGGTGAGGCACCCTGCTGACATGAGTTTCCCTCCAAATGAATGATTTCCATGAGCATTTGTTTCAGTGGCGGGTGTTTTAATGACCTATGGGTAAAATCAAGACAATAAGCTACGGAGTTTAACTGAAGTTCTCCTTTTGCACATGCACAACACAGTGGGAGGTTCTCTGAACAGACACGTTCAAAACACCATCAGATCCTCCACATTATTCAGGCGAGAGGTGGAGCAGTCGGGCGCAGTAGGCAGAGACAGGAAGTGACTTGTCAGCTAATCTTCGTTGGTGTCCTCTGCGTGTATGTCACTGCTTTTGCCCTGGGAGTTATTGTTTTGTGTCTTTTTGTGTTTTTTGCATCTGTCGCATGTTAGAAGCATCATCAACGCCCCCACTTGCTCATGGTCAGTCCAGCTAAGATTTCCCACATTATTCACACACGATTTCTCCTGGATTTCTACGGACGATTTACTAGGAGGCCAGACGGTCCGGGGTTCAGTGCATGTCTGAAAGCAGCTTTAGTGTTAAGGGCCCTTCCACCCTGCCAAGAAAAAAGTTAACAACATGTGCTTGTAAATGTGTGCTAAGAAATTGTGTCCCTGCTATTCGGTCTCAATTAAAATCAACTGGCCATTACTTTGTCACACGTGAAGAAAATGTGTTGGGAACTAGAACCAAACCGCTGCTACTACTAAAACAAAGTGTAAAATGTCAACAAATGATGAGCTGAGCTTGTAAATCCTTATTTCCTTGACTTCTGACTATGTTTAGTTCCCAAGGCAAAAGTATGAAGATGCAGTTCAAAGCTCCTGGAAGATTTTGTCCATTGTGTCCACAAGATATCTAAACCCTTTGACTGCAGCTTTCAAACACAATGCCAAGCACGTAGAGGTTTGTTGATTTTATGCCTCCGAATGCCAGTTTCTAGAGTTTTAACAAGGCTGGCTCTAACTTCACTGGATCTGTTAAAGAAGATTTTATTGTTATCTCTGGCCTAATGGGTTTTATTAGACCCATAATGACATTGTGCAGTAGTTTATATGAAAAATAAAGAGACTGCTGGATGGGGCCTACACTGCCGGAGAAACCACGAGGAATCAAATGAGAGGACAAAAGTTATGAGAAAGACAGCTAAAGACACAAAGAGAAAGGAGGGAGAAAAGATGGAGAAGGAAGAAGGACGCAATTTGAGAGAGAAAATGGTGACGCATGATTGATGAGGTGACAAATGCCCCTCTACTAAAACTCATAGTTCCTGTTATTGAAGCACAACACATTAACCTGACAATCAGCTTTTTTCAATTATTCTGTTTACATTTTTTAAAGTGATTCCAGGTCACCTTTTCAC